ATTTCTCTAGGTAGAGAAATCACCGCTCCTTTGATTAATAATAGAGATTACAGAACTTTTGCAACCCTAGAACTAATCTCAAAACTCTTGGCTGTCTCTGGCTGTTTTTCCTCTCTTTAAAATAAGCCTTGCCACACCCTATTTATAGATATAGAGTTGGCTTACATGTCCCAAGGCTGATTGGATTCCTATTCCTAAGTAGATTAGGAAATTACACTTATCCAAATCCTAATAGACTTCTAGAAATCCAAACCTGAATTGAATAAGGAAAACTGAAATTCTTTCCTAATCCCTCTAGGACAAGAATTGGTATACCTCTAATTTTCCTAAAACAATCCTAAACCAACTAGGACATATTTGACGAGCCAAAATCCTAACAGTAGGCTCCCAGTAACGCAGGCTTGCAGAGCTGATTATGCACCCGGGTACCCTATGCTGCTGGCTTGCCACACATCTTCAAACGAACTCAAGCATTTTCTCTTACCTATTGTCGTGACTTTGAGGGACCTGTGTTCAAGTTGTATTTATGTTGTGAAGTAGACTAGAATTTTGTTGTGTTTTATAACTGAATCATGTTTGTAAAGGCAATATCTCCGTGTAAAGATTCTTTACATCATAAATTACCACAACTGATGGTTCTATGGTGGTACAAAGGTGATATAAGGGCAGTACATCTATTATCTATATCCAGATGATTGGAAAATTAAATGGAGAATAAAATAGTGGAAATAATAGTTTTACTAATTTTTAATAAATGTTTTGCTACAAGCTTTGCGGGTTATCCATTTATAGCGTTTACTGGATTGTTTAGCATTTATTGTGGGCATTTCTCTGCTCCCTATAGTGTATCTTCTAGTTCCTTTAATTCATTCAGCTGCATACTTTTCAACCCTAGCCCATTTGGGCGAGAGGGAGGCTGTGAGTCACCTGGGCTACGGATTTGTGGGTTGATTGATTCTCAAAATCACCTCTTGATGACTCATGAGCAATAGTTTTCAGCAAGATGCATATTTCTATTGTGATTTTACATTAATCAATATGGATTATTACAGATTCTTGTGAGCCTTGCCCAAGTAATGGACGATGTTATCAAGGCAAGATGGAGTGTCTTCAAGGATTTAAGAAGCGTGGGAAGTTATGTATAGAAGATGGAGATATCAATGAAACAGCTAAGAAACTTGTACGTCCTGAAAGTCTCCTCCTTTTTGCTGCACTAATATTCTAGGGATGAAAAATTGCATAAGTTACATTGGAGTATTATGCACACTGATAGATTTACATACATGATACATTTATGTTTTATTTGGACTTGTACAATACAGGCAGAAAGGGTAGAAATTCGTCTTTGTGAGGCACTTGCTGAATTTTTGTGCTATGGAACTGGAACAATTTGGGTTAGTGACTTTTAAAATCCTATGAAATTGATCAAATTTATTTCTGTATGGATATTTTTGGTTGCTGTTAAATACACTTTGACAATGCTTTAGCTTGTCTGGTTCTGACAGGTTGAAGAAAATGATATATGGAATGATTTAGATAAGCGCGAGCTGCTGGAACATGTTGGCCCAGATAATGCCATTTATATGTATACAAAAGAAAGGACAATGGAGACTGTCAATAGAATGTTGGATACAAGGACAAGTTCTCGTGGGTATGTCATTATGGAGGGAAGCTTTTCCTCTTTCTTAATGTACCCTAACCATTGTATTTTGTGTTTACTTTTCTTTGTGTATAGGGTCAAAGAGTTGAAGTGTCCTGACATGCTAGCTGAACATTACAAACCTTTTTCATGTCGCATTCGTCAATGGATCTCTGAGCATGCATTACTTATTTTGCCAGTTTGTGCATTGGTATTCCATTCTTAAAGGCAGCCTTTAATGATTATGTTTTAGTATCAACATGTTGAAGCTTGTTGACAGTATTGAGATCTCCAGCTTTTGGGATCAACGTTCATACTTTGGAAACTCCGCCGAAGACGGTGTCTATCAACTAGAGTTGATGAGCTTTACCAACAGGTATGTATGATACCATTTGTTCTGTACTTGGAAAGGGGTATTTACATTTTAGGCTTTTATGTTATTATTTCTGTAAGTCAGACATTAGAAGGATTTCACCATCTTCCAGACTAAAATTTGAGGACTTGACCTCATGAAATCCCTGAGTTTTGAAAAATTATCTGAAGGTACCTGTGTTTTCTGAATGTACCTGTATTTTCTGAATGGACCTGCATGAGAAATGTCCAGTCTTTTCCGTGTGACATCTGAAATAATAAGTGGACATTCCATCTCAATGAGTGGACATTATGTTAATGTTGATGTCAAGCCGTGTCATGTCAGATTGGGAAAAGCTTAGATCCATGCACATAATTCGGGAAAACTTTGCATTTAGAATGTAAAATGCTCGTAAAAAGATTTGATAGCGTTGCTAGTAAAAGTATTCTTTTTTTCCAAATGCTCTTTAAAAATTTTGATAGTGTTACTTTGAACAATATATTTCAGATAGATATCTTGGGCTGTAAATTAGGCACAAATCGCTGTGAGAAACTGGACACAAGCTAGTGGCATGGCAGACAGCCATCAATAGAAGTATTTCTTTATGATTGAATTGGGCTGAACCTTTTCTAAGTATTGGAATATTTAACGAGTAAAACCTGAAAAATAGATGAAGAAGAAATAAGAGAAGGGGACAGGAATAACTCCTCATATCACATTAGAAAATATCTAATATGAGACTCAAAAGTCAAAGAAAATGATGACATAAATTTCCTCAGTGAAACATGCTAGGTCTAATGTTATATTACCTTAAATTCATGTAAACTGTTACCTTAATTTATAAGTGCATACTAGACGTGATTTGTCAATGATGCAGAACTTCAACAAGACTCAATTTTTTAATCCCTTGGTTTATTTGAATTGTTCAGTTCCTTTTGTTAAAACGATTTCAATTGCCAACTTTGTAGGTTTGTGAAGTGCTCGAGGAGAAGGCCTTCATGTCAAAGAGTGTGAATAGTGAATGTGAGCCATGGGTTGTTGCCTCTCGGTTGCGAGATCGTCTTCTTTTGCCAAAGGAGAGGAAGGACCCTGTATTGTGGAAGAAGGTATCTCCATCTTTCTTTGGATTTGATTATCACTTCAACCTTTAATTTCTTGTTCAATTGATAATTTATTCATCCATAAGTCTTCTGTGAATGTACTTTTGGTATCCATTGTAGTATTCCTTTGTTAAAGTGGTATGTATTTAACTATGTCATTCGAGTTCAAACTACATTCAAATTAATTTATGGTTGTAAATTCTGCTTACTTTTTGGGGACGAGAAGTTGGATCTGTTTATATGTTATTATTGAACTGAACATTTTCAATGGAATTGCCGTTTTAATGTAAGAACCTTTTGAAATGTTTTGATTGATATGGTTTGTTTTGTTTCTATTTATGAACCAAGTAATTTCTTCCTTGTTCTTATATGCTATAAAACCTTTAGTTACATGTAACATACATCTACTTTAAGAAATTCTAAACTTATAAAAATCAAACAAAAAGTTAACCTGACTTGACTATCACTGAGCCTGAGCTGATGCCCACTACTTTTGCAGCTGACTCATGTCGAACTAACCTCGGGTTTGGCTTGTTGGGTTGGGTCAGGTCACAATCAACCTTTGATTTACTAGAGCCAATGACGATAATTAGATGTATAGATCTTTGTTCTTTATGATCTCACAAGTTGTGGCTCATATTTAATTCATGTTATTTTTATTTTATTTACACTGGGCAGGATTCAAATCATGACCTATTCTAATCCTACGCGCTTTCCCCACTTCATTCTTACCACCTAAGGGATTAGTTCTAACTTGTTTTGCACCAGCATGATGACAGCCCCTACATGCCTCCTTTTAGAGATATATTGTTTTCCAATAGTCTCTATTAAACATAACAATGCCTTGCTGTATACTTGTATGTACAAGGCTTTTTTATTCCATTCATCCAAATTAAGATATAAAAGAATACTTATTTTTAACTCCATTATAATGTTACCATGAAGCTATGAAATATATCATTATATCCGTAGTGAGAAACATGAAATCGAAAAGTTCAAGTACATCCACTTTGTATAACTTTAATTAGTTATTTTGTTATATTATTTGTATTGTTACCTAATCTTAGTTGCTTTCAATCCCAAAGGAAAATTTTAGTTTGATTTTATGGGTTCTATTATTCTATATAGTTTGAAAATAGTGGTCATAATATTGTTTATCTTTCTAATAGTAATATCTGTAATATGTGTAGGTAGAAGAGTTGGTTCAGGAGGATTCTCATGTAGATTGTTATCCAAAGCTGGTGAAGGGTGAATCAAAAGTAGTATGGGAATGGCAAGGTATGCAGGCAGACTGTGTTTTATTTATGTCAATAGTGCATCCTAACATGGCCCAATATCTGGCTTATCATCAATTATTCATTTATTTTAATAGCAAAAAATTATTTCCAAACTTGTAAAATTTGTGAAATTGGGAGCTCTATGGAAACAAGGGTAGTTGTGAATATTTTTTATGCCGTCAATTCTGTGCAATCAACTTTGGCATGTCGACTCTCATTTTGTGTAGTTGAAGGCTCTTTGAGCTCTTCAAGAAGAATGATAAGGGGTGAGGATAGCAAGTTGAAGTCCAGCAGAGCCGCAGAAAGTTCTGAACACCATCTTCAAGCACTACATGCTGGTGAGTCTCACAAGATTATATTTTTGATTCAAAATTGTGTATCTGTTTTCTTGAACATTAATTTCCCGCTTCAGAGCGACAGGGCTCTTCTCATAACCCCATTTTGTTTAGAGACTGTTCAGCAACAATTTAGTGAAATTAATGTTTGTTGGACCACTCCTTTCATACAGAGCGTAAGGCGCTGAATTTTGATACGACGATGTTGGAGCAGTGACCATTATCACGTGGGCCAAGAAGGCTTAGAATGTTTTGTCCTTGAGAGGTGATTCACAGGGAGATTTCTGAGAGGTTGTACAGGAGATTGATCAAGATGTCTGATAAGGTCTAGTTAACTGCTTCTTGTAAGAATACAGAATTTGTATTGCTTTGGTCGGAAAGAAAAGCTTCTCCTTTATTCTCTATTTAGCTCCATATAGTTAGGAAGGGAATGAGAAGAAACTGGCTGTAACAGGTTAGGAACATTTGTAATTGGTTACTTACACTAGACTAAGGTCATGCAATTGGTCATCTGGTAAATTATTAGTTTTTGAAGCTAATGTCAAACCTTGGTGTGGTGTTGTAGACACCCATAATAGGAACATCTAAATGTGAGGAATGACTTTCTATATAAGGGTGTGCATTGAAATGGTTCTCTGATATCATTTGTTTGGCTTTTTTTTGGCATTTGATTGTATTGAATGGGTGCAATCGTCTTTTGATGAATGTTGGTATTTTGGTAGGACTACTAGTGAGTTCTTACATTTTGCAGGACATGACTACGAAGAATTCCATTGGACTCGAGGAGGAGGAAAGCCAAAACAAATTTAAAAGAAACCAAAGAGAAAGTGGGTTGGGGTTCAGTGATTGTGAAAATTGGATCAAGTATGAGAAGCTGAGCTGCATTCCTCATGCTCTATATTTGAAGTGAAGGGGTTCACAACAAATTATGTGCAAATTATCCAAATTTTCAACGAAGTACACATAAAATTGACGATTTGAAATACAATGCAATGTCAATTGGACCACGTAATCTAGCAATTGCATATTGAACATGCAATTGAGTCTAGTGGCCAATTTAATCTATAATTCAATTCACAATGAAGAGGGGATGAAAATTAATGTAGTTGTTCCATTCGAAGGTATGGCCATGGTTTCAACAATAACAGTCGATTATGTGCAAATCAAATGCATAACTGAGAGTTTGAGATACAATCCTTAGAAGCTAATTCCAAGTCTTTAAGGAAATAGCATACGACCTTTTTAAATGTGTAGAGCAATTTGGAAGGCGAGACAGAATCTGCACAAAGCATTACCATATGAGCAGGACACTTGAACAAGAGAAAGAGAGCGACAAACAACTAAAATACCATATATATATAAAGAAATCTTACGCAAACTTTGGACGAAAAGGTCATGAGAAGTTTGTAATCCGTATGAGAACTCTTTTAATAAAACATTCAACTTAGATGTTTCCTTTATTTCCTTGGGTAAATTATTCAAATGGTCCTCAAACCTATACCTGATTTATATTTTGGTCCCTCAACTAAATTATTCATTCAAATAGTCCATCAACTCTATATTATTCACTCCAGTGGTCCTACCGTCTAATTTTCTGTTAGATTTAACCTAATTTTAGGGTAAATAATGACCAATTTACCCTTATATTTAACGGAAATATTGACAGAATGTAACGGTATGACCAATGGAGCGAATAATATAGAGTTGATGGACCATTTGAACGAATAATTTAATTGAGATACCAAAATATAAATCGAGTATAAGTTTGAGAACCATTTGAGTAATTTACCCTTATTTCCTTCATATATTCTTCCACAATGTGGGTAAGGCCACCAAATGGCCTCTCACCCACCTTAAGATTATATTGGCCACCATAGCCAATAGGATGATTTGCTTGATGGGAACAATAATTAGGCTCATTGTACATATAGGTGGAACCGTATTGGCAATATGAGTAAGTGTATTGCCCCCATGCCACTTGATTGGTTTGGCCACCAAAGATATGCTGATCATTTGAACCATTTTGGTTCAAAAGATCATATCCCCTTAATTGTATGCACCATATTTGCCATCAAATTTGCTACTTGAGTCATATTTGTTGTTAGACCCACCTTGATGGGTAAAACTATATTAGCCATTGTGGTTGTGCTCACCATGTTGGCTGATGGATTGGCTACTTGAGCCATAAGAGTCATAGCCATTGTAGTTTATCGGCTGATAGGAATGTTTCCATTCCTTTCGGTTGCTCATATAGTGTGTCCCTCTGAGCATGCCAAATTATATATCCCTCTTTTCAACCGAGGTGACCAATGAAATTTTTAGTCATTCTTCAAATTGCGTAAGCGTGCCACCACCAAGTTAGGGCACACCCTAATATGGTTTTCTTTGTTAATATTAATTATGATAATTCTCTTTCATGCACCATTAGGAGATAGCCCATGGTGGATTCATTTGTACCTTGATATTGTTGAAGATGTTTTAGGAAGTTTAGTTTTTTGCTTCATACACACTGCTATATTTCCCACTCACCTTTATTGTTGAGCTTTAGTTTTCACACACAATATAGTTTACTATTTAGGTAAATAGAAATTCAATTTCAGCTAATTAGAATAAAGTCAAAAGCCAAAATATAGTACCTACTTTTACCATCATATAATTAAAGACCATCAAAATTACTTTGTAAGTTCTAAAGTTGGGTCAGGCTTTTTAAGAAGAAGGGTAGCATTGTCTTTTCAGTTTTTTTAACTAGCCCAACGAATCTGGGCCTCCTTTTGGCCTAATCCAAAATAACAATTTTTTCCTAAGAATTAAAACCCAAACAAAAATACCCAATGTCTCAAATACTAATTAGTAAAGTTACTTATGTCTAGTACCTAATTTTTCTTAAAAGGGAAAGTTATTTAATGAATACTTAAATGAAGGATTTAAGGGTTTTTTTTTTTTTTTTTTTGGTTTGTGGTCAATAAGGATTTAAGTATTTACAGGGCATGTTACCCAAACCTCACCCACTATGCATCTTTTGACCCAAAAATAAGGTTCACTTATGTGCATTTCATCCATACATATCTAATTTGATGGGTAGAATGCAAGTAGTATTCAATCTGTTTTTTCTTTTTTCTTTTTTCTTTTAATTTTACTATTATTATAAAAGGATAGATATTTGCAGGGGTCTTTTTATTCCAGCAGCCTGACGAATGAGCTTGGGCTACCGAAAAAAAGAAACAGGTGAAATTACCCCATGTGCCTGAGTTCAAGAATTAGGCCCCAAGAATGCTTCGAAAGGGTAGTGAAGTCTTAGGAAGCATCCTGGTTATCTTCACCAATAAAAACAACAACTGCTTATAGGTAGATTCTTAGCTTGGCATAAGAGGCTTGTGGCATGGGAGCAAAACAGTCATGAGTTTAGCATAAACAGAGAGAGAGCTGTGAGTTCTTGGGGTTCTAAGGAAAGGGTTATCAGAGGGTTCGGCTCAGAAAAAGGGAGAGGCTAGGCAATGGGTGGCTTAAGTGATTTTTTGGCAGCTCGACAGAGGTTCTGTCAAATACCAAAACAATCTGCTATGAGGAAAAATAAGGGGAAGAAAGATGAACAAAGCACGAAATTGCTGGGTTTTGGAAGTAAGAGAGGAAGCTTGCTCTCTATATGTGGTTTAAGTGAATTTCTAGTTGCTTGACAAAACTTGGTCGCACTCTGGATGATTGATTTTGCTGGGTAGAGGAAGCTCCATTTTATAGGCACTTAGAACCCTAATTCCATCAATCATCCATTTTCACTTTTCCTTTGCTTCTTTTCATTCACCCTTTTTGGTGAAATTTCTTTAACTAGAGCTTCTGGGCTACAGGTTCTTTGGGGTTCCAAGGTTTTGGGTGGCTGGACCTCCCCCATGGGGGTGAGGAGCCACCTACTTTCTTCCTTGGTTTTCACAACAGAGCTCACAGAGGAAAAAAGAATAGGGGGAGTCATTTGTCCAATGGGTACTCCTCTTACACACATGGATTTCCTTTGGTTCCTGCCATGGCTTCTCGTTGACTATTTTGGAGTTTTGACAAGGGTGGAATACGATGCTAGATTTTTACAAGGCGCTAGGGTAGGCTTTGTTTACAGTATTGGGTTATTGGCATACTATTTCCAGCGTCTAATGGGTTTTCGTCAAGTTGCTGGAAATAGTCTATTTGTTTTATTTTGAGCGTTTTACTGATGTGGGTTTGTTTCAGTGTTGTAGCAGACTACTAGAGGTTCTCCTAAGGCATTTGATCACTTTTTTTCCTCTTTCTTATGCTTACCCACATATTTGGGCTCAAGAAATGGGCTTGAGTTTTGGGGCTCCCAAGTAGCCCAAAACTTCCATTTCTCGGCTCATCAATGGGCCTCATGAAAGCTTGTTACCATCCATACCACAACTCACTCAAGCAAGCCAAGGGAATTTGCGTGGCTTGGGCCAACTTAAGCTTGTAGCGTGGCTAGGTGTAATAATAATGATTTTCCGCTCAGCATTGCATGTCGCTTGGCGTGCTTGAATTTTATCGTTTTGAATAAGGATATGACGCATGATGGGATAATTAGCTTGGGCTCGTAAAGCCAGTGCTTATTTCAATTCTTAGCATGATAGATTGCATATTTATTTGGCATGACACGTAAATCATGACTCGTGCGAGCGTGAATGACGAACTTTCGCGTGCTCCAAATCAGGTCTTTTCTTAATAAGGCATTGCGTTGGGCCGGGAATTTATTTGGGCCCAACCTTGGATTTTTGGGCCTCAACAATATTTACCAACTATTATGTAAACCTTGAATAGGAAGAGGTTTGTAACTCAAGTGGATAAGAGTATTTATCCTTACGCTCTAGGTCCTAGGTTTGTAACTCAATGTGATCCAATTCGTTAAATTTATGTTAAAAAAATTTAAAAACTGTTTAAATATTAATATAAAAAAATAGATATATTTGAATTCAATTTAAAATTGGATAATTAAATAAGATCAAAAATTTTGGTCAGGGCTCTTAGTCCCCTTATTACCAAAACAAAAAAAACCAAAAAACAAAATCTAAAACTAAAAGAAATTAAAATCAAAGGATGATACCACCGTCCAATCTAAGCCTACCCCTATTCTCAGCTATGGTACACAGACACTCCAATTAATTGAAGTATCAAAGTGTCGGATCCTTGGACACGATCAACGACTCCCCAAATACGATTAAGAAGACACTCTCTGGACACGGTCAACTTAAAATGAAGACACGGCAGGGACATTTTACAATTTTAGAAACAAAAACTGGGGTGAAATCATAATTATTAAAACTGGTGTGGACAGATTGGAAAATGTTTTAAAAAGTGAGGTTAAAATTGTAAACATCAACCCTAAACCCTAAACCCTTATCACTTGCCTTCACCCGCAGCATCGCACTCGTAAATCCACAGCCACAGCCTCTGGTTCGTGGTTTTCTTCTTCTCTCCCTCCACATTCTTTTCTTCTCATCTTAAGTTCCATTATATTTGCCTCTTGGTAAGGCTTTGTAGCTTTTGATTTTTTTCTTATCATATGTTTTTGTTGAACTCAAACATGCAATACGAGACTATATCTCGGTTTTAGAAGAGTCGGTTGAAGAAAGAAGCATTGCATTTTCTTCTGCCGTAAATTATTTTTATTATTTTTATTTTTGTTAGCCGTCAATTAATAGCAATTTTGAGTCGTTAATTCACTTTCTTTCATTTTATTATGCCTACTACTATTGAATGTGTGAGAAGTTCTCAGATTCTCTCACTATGGCAATCAACCTTGGTGGGTGTTAACTTGATTTTGTTTTATTTTTGTAAACAGGCGAATGAGTAAAGATGGTGCAATATAACTTCAAGAAGATGACTGTTGTACCAAATGGGAAGGACTTCATTGACATCATCCTATCTCGCACCCAGAGGCAGACCCCAACTGTAGTCCACAAGGGTTATGCAATTTCCCGCCTCCGTTCTTTCTATATGCGTAAAGTAAATATACCCAACAGAATTTTCATGAGAAGCTCTCCACAATCATTGATGAGTTTCATAGGCTGGATGGCATTCACCCTTTCTATGGAGACCTTCATGCTCTCGACAACAAAGATCATTACAAGGTTGCACTCGGCCAAATCAATACTGCAAGGAACCTTATTGGAAATATTTCTAAAGATTATGTGAAATTGTTAAAGTATGGCGATTCACTTTACCGATGCAAATGTCTCAAGGTCGCTGCTCTAGGCCGCGTGTGCATGGTTATAAAGAGGATTGGTCCTAGTTTAGCTTACCTAGAACAACTTAGGCAACACATGGCAAGGCTACCATCAATTGACCCTAATACCAGGACAATATTGATTTGTGGCTATCCGAACGTTGGAAAGAGCTCATTCATTAACAAGATCACTAGGGCTGATGCTGCTTGTACCACGAAGTCACTCTTTGTGGGACATACAGATTATAAATACTTGAGGTACCAGGTAATTGATACACCAGGGATTTTGGACCGCCCATTTGAAGACCGTAACATTTTTTAGATGTGCAGCATCACAGCTTTGGCTCACTTGAGAGCTGTGGTATTGTTTTTCTTGGACATCTCGGGGTCTTGTGGGTACAGCATTGCCCAACAGGCAGCTCTTTTCCACAGTATTAAGTCTCTGTTTATGAACAAACCATTGATTATAGTCTGCAACAAAACTGATTTGCAGCCATTGGAGGGTATATCTGAGGAAGACAAGAAGTTGGTCACGGAGATGAAAGCTGAAGCTATGAAGACAGTGATTGGTCAAGGAGGTGAGGCTACCAATGATGAGGGGGTACTCTTGACCATGAGCACTCTGACCGAGGAGGGGGTTATTGCTGTAAAGAATGCAGCTTGTGAGAGGTTGTTGAATCTCAGAGTGGAATTGAAGATTAAATCCAAAAAGATAAATGACTGCTTAAATCATTTTCATGTTGCAATGCAAAAGCCATGTGACCATAAGGAAAGACCCCCATGTATACCTCAGGTAGTTTTAGAAGCTAAGGCTAAGCAAGCAGCGGAGAAGGAAAAGAGAAACACAGAAAGGGATTTTTGTATACTCTGCCAGTTCGAAGAAGAATTATATGTTAGCTAATGATGAATGGAAAGAGGATGCTATGCCAGAAATTCTTGATGGGCACAACGTATACGACTTTGTTGATCCTGATATTTTGCATAGGCTTGAGGAGTTGGAACGAGAAGAAGGATACCGGCAGGTGATCTGGGAGCTCCTCTAGTTGCCTAAGAAAAGTCCTCTGAAGATGGAAAGTGTTCATTGTTGGTAGCAGGAAACTGATTCATTAGTATAGTTAATCCAGTTTGCATCTTATGTACCCATGGATCATCTGAAGTTCTGTCAATTTATTTTTAACTCTCCACTTTGTTTTGTGGTGTTTTGACATCGATTACTGTCTGATGGTGAAAAGTAATGATTTTGGTTATGAAATTAGTGATAAATTATTTTCAGTAGATTAGGTCTACTACTTGTATTTAGTTGTTTCTGCTTATAGAATCCATGTTAATAGTGATTCTGTATGCCACCTCCTGGTAGGTATTGACCACATGTTATATGCATTTGTCTGGTAGCTGATGCTTTGGTGTGGTTATTATCATTTTTGGGTTGAGAAATTGACTCTTGTGCATTAAAAATAAAATACCGTGAATATAAATTAGATGTTTTAAATCATGTGATGTTCTGTGAAGATTAGTTTTTGAATTGATTGCTGCTATTTTTACTTCCTGTCATATTTTTCCACTCAGCTTATCTTCAAAATTTTAAAGACAAATTTATCCCTTTGTAAAATGACTTCTAAAGTCTTAGGGTATTTTAGGAATAAAGGTGTTTACTTATATGAGCATGTGTAAATAAGAAATTTTTTTCTACATTTAAAATGAAATAAAAATTATGCTTAATTCAATGGGTATTTTTTAAGTTTTCGATAAGGACTGTTGATATTATACTCAAATCAAATTTAATAGACTCGGGAGAATACATGAGGGAATAGATTCAAATTTAATCCTCTCAACACATTCAAATAATAAACTCTTCAGAAGTTAGTGATTATCAAGTTGTTCTTTTACTATCATTTAAGAAATAAAAAGCCTCGCTGATTGATACTTCCTACAAAGTGAAGAACACTTGCAAGGCAGCTTCGAATGTAGAAACATACATTGCTTGAATTAATATTTAAAGGGTATTTTAAGAATACTGGTATATGAAAAATAGGATTGTATTTTTTAAAAATTTACATGGTGGGTGGGGGAATTAAGGCATGAGTGGAAATAGTAGTGTTCTTTGAGTTATGATATAGTTTCTACTTTCAATGTATGTCTATGTTGCATGGATACGTCCAAAAAGTAGGGTATGAGAGTATCCGGTGAGTATCAAATACGATACATGTACGATACGTTGAGTTACGTATCAGATATGCATATTGAAGTATTCGACCAACTCACACGACAACGATGTAACAGTATACGCGTATACGGTTCATGACACGGTGGATGATTTAAAAATATCTAGGAATTTTTATGGTTGTTTGAAAATTTTGTAAAACGTGGGGTAAAAATATAAATTTAAAACTTCAACCTGTAAACCCATCCCTCTTCTTCTCTAGAGAGCTAGAGTTTTTTCATTTTGGTTTCAACGGTAGATGAAAGAACAAGAACTCAACCTAACCTTTTTCTCAACAACATATGCTCCAAGGAACATCATGTGCATCACCAGGTCCAGCTCCATCGTCGCTTCTTCTTCTATATTGCTTAATGAGGTTTTTTTATTTTTTATTTTAAATAAAATTTATATGACTTTAATATTGTGTGGGTCGTTTATGTTGCACGGACACTCTAAATAGTTGAAGTGGTGAAGTGTCAGACAGTTTGATAAGTGGACACTCTTTGGACACACCTCAGACATGATCAACGACTTTGACACGGTCAAGTCAAGACACTTCCCAGACACAGTCAACTCCGAGTTAAGACACGGCAGGGATGATTTTACAATTTTAAAAATAAAAAAGGGGTCAAAACATAATTGCTGAAAACTTTTGTGGACATATTTGGAAATGAATTAACAATTGGCGTTAAAATTGTAAACAATAACCCTAAACCCTAAACCCTTATCACTTACCTTCAGCCGCAGCAGCATCGCATTTGTAAATCCACAGCCGCTGGTTCGTGGTTTTCTTCTTCTCTCCCTTCACATTCTTTTCTTTTGATCTTAATTTTTATTATATTTGCCTCTTGTTGTGTTGCGATTGACAACAATTCTTGCGAACTGTTATCCAGGTGAGGCTTTGCACATTTTGATTTTTTTTTCTCTGTTTTCTTATCTTATGTATTTGTTGAACTCCACATCTCGGTTTTAGAAGAGTCGGTTGAAGAGAGAAGCATTGGATTTTGTTTTGCTTAATTTTTTAAAGTTTTTTTTTTCTTAACTGATCACTTGACATAGGGCGATTAATAGCAATCTTGGTCGTGAGAAGCATCTTGTTGAGTGGTTAATTCATTTTCTTTCATTTTATTATGCCTACTGCTTTTGATATATGTGAATTTGGTTGATTAATAATAATATTAATGAGATTGAATTTGGTTTATTAATTTAATTGGGTAGGTGTATTAATCTAAAATTTGGTTCATGATAAATATGCGAGAAGTTCTCAGATTCTCACTATGGTAATCAACCTTGGTGTTAACTTGATTTTGTTTTATTTTTGTAAACAGGCGAATAAGTAAAGATGGTGCAATATAACTTCAAGAAGATGACTGTTGTACCAAATGGGAAGGACTTCATTGACATCATCCTATCTCGCACCCAGAGGCAGACCCCAACTGTAGTCCACAAGGGTTATGCAATTTCCCGCCTCCGTTCTTTCTATATGCGTAAAGTAAAATATACCCAACAGAATTTTCATGAGAAGCTCTCCACAATCATTGATGAGTTTCCTAGGCTGGATGACATCCACCCTTTCTATGGCGACCTCCTTCATGTTCTCTACAACAAAGACCATTACAAGCTTGCTCTTGGCCAAATCAATACTGCAAGGAACCTTATTGGAAAGATTTCTAAAGATTATGTGAAATTGTTAAAGTATGGTGATTCACTTTACCGATGCAAATGTCTCAAGGTCGCTGCTCTTGGCCGCATGTGCACAGTTATAAAGAGGATTGGTCCTAGTTTAGCTTACCTAGAACAAATTAGGCAACACATGGCAAGGCTACCGTCAATTGACCCTAATACCAGGACAGTATTGATTTGTGGCTATCCGAATGTTGGAAAGAGCTCATTCATTAACAAGATCACTAGGGCTGATGTGGATGTCCAGCCCTATGCTTTTACCACGAAGTCACTCTTTGTGGGACATACAGATTATAAATACTTGAGGTACCAGGTAATTGATACACCAGGGATTTTGGACCGCCCATTTGAAGACCGTAACATTATTGAGATGTGCAGCATCACAGCTTTGGCTCACTTGAGAGCCGCGGTGTTGTTTTTCTTGGACATCTCGGGGTCTTGTGGGTACAGCATTGCCCAACAGGCAGCTCTTTTTCACAGTATTAAGTCTCTGTTTATGAACAAACCATTGATCATTGTCTGCAACAAGACTGATTTGCAGCCATTGGAGGGTATATCTGAGGAAGACAAGAAGTTGGTCACGGAGATGAAAGCTGAAGCTATGAAGACAGTGATTGGTCAAGGTGGTGAGGCTACCAATGATGAGGGGGTACTCTTGACCATGAGCACTCTGACCGAGGAGGGGGTTATTGCTGTAAAGAATGCAGCTTGTGAGAGGTTGTTGAATCAGAGAGTGGAATTGAAGATGAAATCCAAAAGGATAAATGACTGCTTAAATCGTTTTCATGTTGCAATGCCAAAGCCACGTGACAATAAGGAAAGACCCCCATGTATACCTCAGGTAGTTTTAGAAGCAAAGGCTAAGCAAGCAGCAGAGAAGGAAAAAAGAAATACAGAAAAGGATTTGGAGAATGACAATGGCGGTGCAGGTGTATACTCTGCCAGTTTGAAGAAAAACTATATCTTAGCTAATGATGAATGGAAAGAGGATGTCATGCCAGAAATTCTTGATGGGCACAACGTATACGACTTTGTTGATCCTGATATTTTGCATAGGCTTGCGGAGTTGGAACGAGAAGAAGGATACCGGCAGGCGGATGAGGGTGATGATAATTTTGAGATGGAGGGATTGGAATTGACTCCAGAAGAGCAAAAGACATTGGCTGAGATAAGGAAAAAGAAAAGCTTGCTCATTCAACAACATAGAATCAAGAAAAGTACAGCAGAGAGTCGACCAACTGTACCAAGGAAATTTGACAAGGACAGGGAGTTCACAACAAAGAGAATGGGGAGGCAGCTATCAAAGTTGGGACTTGATCCTACTAAGGCAATTAACAGAGCTCGAAGCAGATCTGTCTCAACTAGGGGCCGGAAGAGGGAGAGATCACTTGACAGGGATGATACTGATGGTGGTGATGCTATGGATGTTGATACACCCAACAAGAAGCAACGCATGTTATCTAGATCCCATTCGAGGTCAAGATCAAGGCCTCCAACTGAAGTTGTCCCTGGAGAGGGATTCAAGGACTCTGCTCAAAAGGCTAAGGCACTACAAAAGGCCAATAAATCTAATAAGATGAGAAACAAGAATGCTCGTCGTGGAGAGGCAGATAGGGTCATTCCCACTTTAAAACCAAAGCACTTGTTCTCTGGAAAACGATCAATTGGAAAAACTCAAAGGCGTTAAAATATTTGAGGTACTCAGACACATTGCATCACTTTTCAATTCAGCTTGTCTTTGTTTTTAGCACTCGTGGGAAACAGTTATATATGCTGATTTTCCATTTTCTCTGACCAGCTTTAGGGATGCGTATGCTTTATGCAAATTACATGATTTATGGGACCAGTTGCATTCTATTTTTTGTGTCTATTACATGCATACCTCATCAACCTACGGTTCCGTGTATCAGATGCGTATGTGTGAGAATAACATTCTCGTAGCTACCAGATGGAAGTTTTTGGTCCTTTAGGAAATGCTAGTGTCATATTGATCATTAAAATTAATCTCCTGTTCTGTG